AGATGAAATGTAAGTGTATGATCTAAGTCATCACTGAGCATGTCAGGTCGGCGGGGGAGGAAACTGATACAACAACATATACCACTTATTGTCTACTTTTGTGTGCCAAGCATTTTACATGAACTGTTTCATATGACTGTGTTGACACTTTGAGGTAAATACCACTATAAGACCTCCTTTATAAACGAGAAAATCAGGACTCACAAAAGCCACTTGCTTATGTTCAATAGGAAGCGAGAGAGACCAAGATTTGAACCTAGTCCTCTTTTTTTTTTTTTTTTTTTTGCGGTACGCGGGCCTCTCACTGTTGTGGCCTCTCCCGTTGCAGAGCACAGGCTCTGGACGCACAGGCTCAGCAGCCATGGCTCACGGGCCCAGCCGCTCTGCGGCATGTGGGATCTTCCCGGACCGGGGCACGAACCTGTGTCCCCTGCATCGGCAGGTGGACTCCCACCCACTGCGCCACCAGGGAAGCCCGAACCTAGTCCTCTTTGATGCCATAGTCCAAGTTCTTCATCGCACTGTGACTGCTTATCCAAATTTGGTTCCCTGTTCACATGATCCAAGATTCTGCAATACTCAAAATACAAATGGAATGCTGCAGTAGTTGAAGTCAGCACACAATTTCTGAGATCTCCCTTTCCAAAATTCACACTTGAAATGCACGCCCTTTGTCATCTAAATGAAAATAAACCTAGGAGAATCTGTCCCTGGAGCTAGTAGGTGGGAGATATGGAAACATTGGGTCTCCTGCTTTAATTATGTGGGTTTGATAAGATGCATTTTCTTTAGAGACGATCAAATATTTCTCATGCTATTCATGAAAGCTTCAAATAAAACAGTTAAACCAATATTCATTTGCCACTGCCAGGAAAAAAATGTAACCATGCATTACTCGGAAGTTTCTTTCATCTTTGGAGTAGTAATAAATATTTTTTCACCTCTTCCACACAGGGAAATGTTATGATGGTCCAGGAAAATGACGTTAGATGCATAAGTATTATGAATAATCAGTGTGGAATTAAGTAATATAAATAAGCTACCCACTGACTTCATGTACTCACCTAGTACACACTTTAAACAAATATTTCAATTTTGGCATTTTTCCAAAACAATTATTTTAAAAGAAAATATAAATTAGATTAACTTTTAGAAAAGAGAAACAAATATACTCTAAATATTGGGGGAAATGATATACAATGGTTATTTTTTAATACTGATTTCTTGAAGATGTACATTTGTTTATTGAACATAATTAGAAAATAATTTTAAAACGTGTATGTAGTATAAATTGCTATGGCTTTCAACTAGGAAACAACAATTTTTTCCAAAAATATATTATTAAATGTTTGAGCCTCCTAGAACAGGCTAGCTCAGTTTTCACTTCTTTGAAATATGTGTATTTTAAACAGTAAGTGTCACAGTGAGTTCAGCTCACTTTTGGAAGTGTTAGGAGGATCCAATGAAGAGCTACTTAAACACCAGGGAAGAAACCAATTATTCAGAAACAACTACCCTATGTAAAAGCTTCATCCAAATAAGGAGTTTTGTGCAATGTAAATGAACCCCTTTTACTAAATGTAGACATTTACCATTGTTATTAACACTTTATCCCCAGGAGGTACAATTTTCCCAATGCTAAGCAGTAACAGAAAAATGCACAATTATTCTTCCTAGAAAAAAAAAAACTGCATTCAATTTGTATTATTTTACTATTTTGCAAAAACACTGGAACATAAAGAAGAATACACCATATAAGATTTCACTCTACGTAAAACTAGTCTTCAGAAATATTATCCAGCCTGCCAGATGTTTTCCTCCCAGGTGTTTTCCTCCTTTATTATAAATTAACAGTAGTGATATAGAGGAGTTTGCAACTGTATTAAGTCTCCTGTTCCTCATGTGTTGGCATCTTATTTATTTGCAATAAATAAATGTATGTGTATATCTATAAACACACTAAAATTTGTACTTGATATCTTCTAACTGCAAAGCTGCTCTAACAGATACATTGTTTTTCCATTAAGCTAATTTCTATTACTCCATTCCACCTCATCTTGTAACTGACAGCCAAAGAAAATGAAAAGATTTGCTCTTGTTTGCTTTCATGAGAAAATGCCACTTTGTTAATGTTAAAATAATCCTATAATTTTCCAGTTCTTTTTAAGTGACTCCGGAGAAGTAATCCAAGATAAAGAAAAGTGTTGATAAAGTCTGGAAGCACAAGAGGGAACTATACAGGCAGGAAATGTCACTGCACCAGCGCTGCCTGGTGGTTCAGAGCAGGAGAGTTACGGGTGGAAACACACTCACGTGCACAGATGTCCTTGCACACACGTACACAGAATACACCGTCAAGCAGATTCTCCTAGTGTTATTTGGAACTTCTTTAACAGATAGCATTCTACACCAAAATGTGGCTAAATCAGACCTGCTCAGAAAAGCAGAAAGAAACGTCTTTCCTGGAGGAGCTCCAGTGTCTGAAGCCTGTTGCAGTTCTGGTATCAGATCAGTGAAGGTTCTCCTGCCCACTGCTGCCAAGAGAGCATGATTCTTTTTTTTTTTTTTTAATTTATTTATTTATTTTTGGCTGTGTTGGGTCTTCGTTTCTGTACGAGGGCTTTCTCTAGTTGGCGGCAAGCGGGGACCACTCTTCATCACGGTGCGCGGGCCTCTCACTATCGCGGCGTCTCTTGTTGCGGGGCACAGGCTCCAGACGCGCAGGCTCAGTAGTTGTGGCTCACGGGCCTAGTTGCTTCGCGGCATGTGGGATCTTCCCAGACCAGGGCTCGAACCTGTGTCCCCTGCATTGGCAGGCAGATTCTCAACCACTGCGCCACCAGGGAAGCCCGAGAGCATGATTCTTAAACCTTTGGAGTCAGTTACTCCTTCTCAAAATAAGGCTAATAATAGTCCCAAGCCGTCACTTTGGTTTTACACAGCATCTCTTGGATTGCACCTCTAAATGCTTTAGGGTTGCCCAGGTAGGAACCATAATATGGGCTGTTATTGGTGGTATTAAAAGCTCAGAAACCCAGTGGACAGAGAATAGGTCGGTATCATCCTCAATACAATCTTGATCTTTTGGCCAACACGGTAAACACTGATTAAATTGATGTAAAATTAAATCTAGGGCAAACCCCCATATCTTCTTAATAAAAGAAGTGAAAACTTGTGACGAAACATACTCACAATTTCAATACCGTCTCTAATTGCCTTTTGTTTACTCTGGCTTCCTCTAGGAGGTTTTGATGCTATCTTAATTATCACTGTTGTTTTATGCCTAATAATTAATGGTTTAAGTTTTGTACTTTTATCCTGAGGCAATTTTATAAAGGGAAGTATTTTTAACAAATCAAAATGTTACCCCCCAGTTCTTCATCTTAGCCGGCTGCACAGGTGTAATGGAGCGCCTGGCTAGGTTCCATTCCCCCTCTGGCGGTCTGAGAATACTTGTTATGAAGCCTAGTCGGGACCAAGAGAGCATCTTAATGGATGTCGGTGATGAGGTTCTCTGGCTGGCACCATCTGTTCATGTCTGTATAGCACTGGTTACCAAAAGCTTGCTTGGGACTTCGCATGATACAAAGCCATAGACTAGGAAGGGGACGGGGAGGTGCAGGGCTCTGTTCCAGAGCAGATGCCACAATGGAGGGTTAGCGTGGGTGAGATGCTGTTTTGGATAATGCCTGCTACAGAGTAGATACTCATTGAATGCTCAGCTTAGGTTAAATCGCTTTGATGTGGGGAGGAAGAAGGGTGGTAGCTGGGGTTAAAAATGCTGTGCACTAGAAAACAAACTTATGCTTACCAAAGGACACTACTATAAACAAAATAAACAATAAGGTCCTACTGCAGAGCACAGGGAACTATACTCAGTACCTTGTAATAACCTATAATGGAGAAGGATCTGAAAAAGAATAGATAGACAAATAGATGACTGAATCACTTTGCTGTATTCCAGAAACTAACACAACATTGTAAATCAACTATAACAGGAACAAGTTCCGTTCCAAGAGTATGTTCGTAAGTCCGATTTGTTTGTAAGCTGGTACTAACTTTGCAGTACCAGCTACGTCACCGCTGCTTTGACGCTTGCTTTTGGACATCCTGGGCTTGAAATACAGATACTGTACTGCCGTACCCTATACAGTACTGTACAGTAAAGTACGCAAAAGCACAGCCACTTGTAGAGGATGCACGCACGTGACAATGCACGCCAGACACGGGAGCGAACTTACGTGATTGGACATGCAAATGCACATTTGCATCTTTGAAAGCCTGAAACTTGAAGGTTTGTATTAGGGGACTTACCATATTTCAATAAAAAAAAGAAAAGCAAATGATACCCATGAGCCCATCAATCAAAGATCATCAGTGACAGCATTTTAGATATTTTTCTAGGCACTTTTGTTTATAGTGATCATATCAATTACACAAAATTTTTACGGTTCTGTATCCTGTTACCCCACTTTAGATTAATGTAAAATTTGTTTTTAAATGCTGTACACTAAAGTATGACTAAATGTCTGGCATTTAACGAGCAGGCAATTGTGTATCAGATACCATACGTCTTCCATCATAACATCTCTTGGCTTATTGTATAATGGCATTTCCGTTCTTTCTTTCTTGGATATTTATTTCTTATTACTTCTCATTTGTAATGAGGGAATTTTTCCTACTATAGAAACTGAGATCTACATGCTAGTGAGGAAACAATAACAATTTGAGAATTTCAAGTGAAATGAAAATATCTTTAGGCCAGTAACTGACTTACCAGAGTCTGGCATTCTTGTAGCTTATAATTTAGGTATCACTTCCAGTTAAGATTTGTGGTGCTCATGGCTGACCTCAGACTTGATCTTTAAAAAAGACGAAACATGACAAATGAACTTTGACAGAAATATATTTAATGACTGGTTTGCTGACATCCACAGGTAAGGCAGAGAAAACTGCCAGTTTTCAAAAAAAAAAAAAAACTAATTTGCATCTTTCCTCAGGAGCTGCCTGGAGGGGTTAGTTCTGTGCAGGGGAAGGAGTCCTACACAGCGTGCCCTGCACCCATGCCTGGCTGCGCCTAACCAGTGAGGTAAATATTTACTTCCCTTCACCTTTACTTGTGCAAGATGATTTTAGTCAAGGGTGGGGGGGGGGTGGAAATCAGCTTTGCAGAAATAGCTTTCTGCTAAATGCCCAGAGTTCAGTATTTTTTTAAAAAAAAACACAACCTCTATATAATTATATCTCATCTGTTATTAGCTACGGAATTAGTTCTGCCTAAATTCCTTCCTTCCCCACTTCATGAGTGTTTATGAAAGACCAGTAACTAGCCTGAATGTCTGCAAAATGATATCGAACACAAATCCAGCATTTGCAAGACAGGAGCTCACGTGTAGCTCCAAACAGAGCATTAATTACTTGCTAAGAGTATTTAATGAAAATGACTGCACTTAAATATGTTCATAGACTTGGAAAAGACAGATTCCATGTTTCCTTCCACACACAGATCCAAAATACGAGCTTGTATTTGATGTTTGGAGTCTGCAGCCTAGACTAGTTTAAACCCATTGGGGAAGAACATCAGGGCTATAGAGTGATGAAGGGCACAAAAGAAAAACGTTTTAGAAAATGTAACTAAGTTAAAATTTCATGCATTTTTGCAGTTGCAAATCGCTGAGTATTGAATGATGGCCTTTCCTGATCATAGCATTTCATGACCAGTTTACATGTGATTAAATTGATCTATCAGATAGTTTGCAGAATACATTTTTCTGGTTGGGTAACAGGAGCAATTCTTTTTTCTGTTCCTCTAAAACCAAGTTATTAAAAATGTAGTCAGTGAACCAGAAGCATCAGCATTGAGGTTGTTAGTGATACAGAATCTCAGGCTCCACCCCAGACAGCTGCCCTCTAGATGATTCACGTGCACACTACAGTTTGAGAAGCATTGATCTGAAACACAGCTACGCATCTTTCTTATAAAGAGATGGGTTTTTTAATTTTCAGAACTAATTATTAAAGTTCAGTCAAAAATGTTTTTTTTAATTCTAAATTTTAAACATTTAAAATATTTTTAAATCAACTCACGCTAGTGTAACAGACTTCTAGCATGACTTTAATTTTTTTTCTAGAAATTCTCCCATACAGTTGGAGGTTCGTTACAATGGTCCCAAACAATGTGTAACAAACAAATTATGTTACAAAATAAGAGAATAATTCTTGATGACAAACCAAACAGCAACAGCTAGTTTTGTCTGATATAATATTTTTTAGTGGGCCAAGTTTATTATTTTGCCCTCATTTATCAAATACTTTGTGCCTTACATGCGGTATTTTCAGAATGTATGAAAACAGAATTATGCTTTAAATCGTCTGGCAAAATTCTAAAAAGTTTTGTTCAGAACAAGAGTAACGTCTACGGGATTGCTATTGTCTTTCTAGAAGTCCAAAGCCAAGTTGAGGTTTGCTCAGTTTTTACTAAGGAAGAGTAATTGCTCTGTTTACTCTGACATAATCTGCCTTCACTTTCTGAAATAAACTGAAACTCCTAATGAATAATATGCTTGTTTCCTGAAGAACATATTATCTAAATAATAATTTAGAGCTATGATATAAGATTCTACTGCCAAATCATGAAGTCAGATTTATTTGGTTCACTTACATAAGCCAATTACATATTTTGTACTTGTTTAAATATTATAATGCATCATCTTCAGTCCTTTAAAAAAAATTCATTTCAGGAAAAAAACTAAAGGGTAAGTAGTGGTATGAGGGTAAAGGAACTGATGTTGATTAAATTGCTTCAACTCCTGGTAAAACTACAAAATAATTGCACATTAAAATAGAATGAGCATCTCTGATAAGAGTTCTTCTCATCTGCAAATGTCCATAAAAATCACATCTTTTCATTTTAAAGATGCCTAAATGAGAGTCAGTTAATTAAAGGGAAACTACCTTATGCAATTATAATTGTTAAGGAGTTATGCAAAGTTAACCAGCAGTGGTATAAAAGGCATAAAAATCTGTCCCTCTTTTTGTCTTTGTAAGCGACATGTTCTTGATGACAGGATGGAGAAAATTCAAAAGGAAAAAAGTGTAACCATGAGAAAGTATGTGTGTGCGTGTGTGTTGTGTGATATTCTTCAAAAAAAGCATAGTTTTGATTACAGTTCTCCCTACGCAAAAACCTTCAACTGCTCACTGTTTCTTTTGAATAAGTTCTAAACTCTTAAATATGCCTACAAAGCCTTCCATGCTTTTGTCCTAAACTATCTTACCAGTTACCTCCCATTACTCGCCACCCTCTCTTCTCTTGGCTCCAAACAAACCACTTGCTATTTCCCTAATATAACCTGGGTTTTTCCTTTCCACACTTTTGTTCACACTGTTTCTGTTGACTGGAATATTCTCTCTCCAGCACCACTTCACCCTACCCCACCACCTACCATAACCCCAAACTGACTGGGAAAAATCCCACTCTCTCAGTTAAGATGCTTATGGCTTCCGGTAGCAGAATACTCAACTAACTGCTTTAAACAATACAGACATTTATTATCTTACATAGCAAGAAGTTCTGAGAAAGAGCCATGTGCTTTCTTTCATTCTACTTTGCTGTCTTTAGCATGTTGGCCATTGTCTTGAGGCTTGTTTCCTTATAGTCACAAGATAGTTGCCACTGCTCCAGGCATTCCTTCCTATGTCAACAGAGAGGAAGAAAGGAGTTCCTTAAAGGAGTTTTTTAAGGGAAGGAAAAGCTTTTCCAGCATGCACTTAGCAAACCTCTGCTAAGGTGCTAATTAAAAGGAATCATCCATGCTCATTCTCTAGCTTCAACGAAGGCAAGAAATACAAGCATCTAGTACTTTCAGCCTCTAAAACGGGAGATGGGCTGTACTATCCAGGAGGAGGATAGGAATGGTGACCAACTGTTGCCTCTAGTCCTCCAAAGCCCTGATCTAATGACGTTGACTCCATGAAGCCCTCTCTGAGTCATCCAGTAAAAGTTACCTCTCCTTTGGTTTTGCACAACACTGTGTAGCTTTTATATTTACATTTTGCTTTGTATTCGAGTTATCTGTATGCTTGCCTCATTTCCACTATGAGAATGCATCAATCCTGTCTTGTTCATGTTTTATTCCCATATCCTCTAGCATAGTCCTTGACCCTTAGAAAGTGTTGAATAAATATTTCCTGAACTGAAAACCTCACTAATTTGAACGACAGTTAGATGATTCACTTTAGCTACAGGGGGAAAAAGAAACATCATATCCGCCTCCCAAAAAAAAACCTTAGAACTTTCACCACATTTGCAATTAATACAAATGCTGCTTTTCAATAAACAAAGTACAGAGGTAACAGTCAGAAACAAAATTAAAAATAGAGAGAGGCTGACCTTATCCTCTCTGCTGACAAAACAAAAACAAGCACAAAATCTTCCTGGCAAATGTGCTGTTTTCTCAAGACTGGTCCACTAGCTACTGGATGAAGGAAGACTCCCAAGGGCTCATCCTAAAGGATCCCAGACTCAAGCCAACTTAGACCAAAAGGATCAGGGCTGCCTACCAGGGACAGAGCAATGAGCTAGGAGCATCCTGAGTTCCTGAGGATTTCATGGAGCAGGGCTGCCGTATCACCTCTGGACTTCAAATCTACGAACTTGTAAGAGAAAGAAGTAAATTCACTTCTACTGAGTTTTCCGCCATTCACAACTAAGCCTAATCCAAATTAACGCACTCGATCTACCCTGCGGACTATGGTACTGCCAGAACCTTTGGAGCCGGTCAGGGCCTCCAAGAAGCCATTGCCATTAGGCAAGTCCTCTTGAGTTAAGCCTCAACCCAGCTTGGAACTCGATTCAGTTTGAAGATGGGCCCAAACTAATTCCATCCAGTCATGTACCATCAACTCTCTGCACTCATTGCTCTTGGCAAAATGTTGGCTGCATATTGAGTTTCTCAAGCAAAACAAAGGATAGTAACAAATCCTCAAACATCCTAAGCGTCAACATTGCTGACTGTGTTTAGTTAAATGCCATTTTTTTCCTAACACAAAGTCATAGGATTGAGTGAGGCCTTCCCAAGGAAAAAGCAACTTACCTCCCTCCAGGGGGTAGGTGAGACATACGGAAAAATCTGATTTAATGGTTCTTTGCTTTTTATTTATGTTGCTATATCTTTTATTAAAGATCATCTGGCTAACACTGTGGCAACCTGCGCAAGCAGAACAGTCAAGTGTAGGGGAAGAAGAGGCAACGTAAAAATGCATTTTGTATTTATTCTAAATGTCAATTTAATTGAAAAAGTTGTTTCTTTGCACGGAGAGGTTATTTTGCTGATGCGACCAACAGAGTCAGTTAAAGTAAGCTGGTTTGTACACGAAGATGCAGATGGCTTGAAAAATATCCTTATCACAGCGCACGTCAGGGAGGGTTTACATAGACAGCAGAGGAATCCGTGAAGCTGGGCCTTGCTGAGAACAGTGGGATTAACACCCTGGAAGATACACAAGAAGGCCAGGAGCACTTGTTCTCAGTTTCTCCACCCAGAGGGCAACTGTCCAGCCAAGATTAAGCTGAAAAGACAGGATAAATTATTCTTAGCTCTAACAGGGAGAATTTTACAACCACTCTGATTCAAGTGATAAACACAGACCTCACATCAGATAATTAAGGTCCAAACATTGAAGAGAAGGCTTGAACTGTCTGATTTCTCTACATTGGTCTTATTATACTGATTTTCAAAACTAAGTTTCACTTTGTGGAAAACATTTCCCCAGAATGGATGCAGCCAATCGCATAAAACTGATTTAAAGCCACAAAGGAATTCTATGAACCCATCTAGATATTGAAAGTAAAATAGTGATACTATTTGTCTTAAAGAAAGTGCTGGTTTTTTAAGCTATTGTGATTTTTTTTTTCCATTTCAGATTTGCAGATGGAATTCTCACATTGCTCTCTTCCATATACAATATCTTATTCGGGGCCTTATATTTACCATTTCTTCACATATATTAAATACCACTGAAATGTAGTGATTTTGTGTTTATACTTTAACATCAAAAAATGAAAACCTAAGGACTTTGAAACTGAAA